ATCGTAATATAATAAAAAACTAATGTCTACTGTTTATTAAAAAGTACGGCAGATGAAGTATACATTTGTAAAGATTTATAGGTAATTATACCGCGTGAAAAAGTCATTCATGCTTATTTTAATGTAAATTAAAGCACGCCTGAACTTTTACAAATGAATCGTTGTCAGTTGAAGTATATAAATATTCTTAGTTCTTATAGATCGATACCCTGAACTCCTGAAGCCATGTGGCAAATATTGAATTGCTGGAGCGGCCGACTCTAGGTAGGTAAATAATGTTATGGGAGCAATTCTACTAATATTCCGAAAACCGAAATGATTATAATTAAACGTACAAATGTACGGTATTAACTGTTTTTACCACTTGTGATTCAGGGCAAGTTACACATGAAAATTGGTTGCCCTCGCATATAATTAACAAAATTTGAAGCAAATGATTACAGAAAGGATTGATTAATCAACATTCTAATCCTATGTTTTCCTTAATTTATTAAGGGGCCACGTCCATATTCATGTTGCCACAAATAACGTCGAATCGACGTTATGAATGGGTGGGTGGGTGGGTTTTTATGTGAACTTATCGACAACTATCACAGTACAGATTTTGTATCATTTAAGTACGAAAGTTAAAATACGACTGAATATCGATCGACGTTATCGTGGAATCGACGAAGAAATAACTTTGTTTCAACGTTATTTGTGGCAACATGAATATGGACGTGGCTCCTAAATTCAATTGAAGACTTAAACATGAACTGCTGATTTCAGCTTATTTACTAATAAAGAATCCAAAACAGAATGTTTACCATGAACCAAGAAGCAAAATTGGGCCATAGTATTAAATTTGTTCTCTTTGAGGAAAGATTCTTTGTTGTTATTGACTTAAAAATGCAGATTTAAAAAAGTCTAATCCTGGACTTACCCTGTTTTTCATTTTTCATGTTAACCTTTACTATCTTCTTTTTGTGATTTGTTTTCCCTTTCCTTGCCCTTGCTCTATATTTGATTGTGCCATGAAATGCTTTATGGTGATGTTTCTTTCCAATTCTCTTTGCATGATGCTTGTGTTGTTTGGGGTGCAGGGTTGCGACTGGTGGTGATGGTGGGGCTACAGCTGGGGCAGATGGAGCTGGAGGCGATACATCTGTGGCAGGTTGTGCATCTGTGGCAGGTTGTGCATCTGCGGCAGGTTGTGCATCTGTAGCAGGTTGTGCCTGTCCTGCAGGTGGGGTTTCTGCAACAATTGGTGTAGCAGATGCTGGTTTGCCCCCATCTGCAGGTGTGTTTGATTCAGGTTCACCCACATCTGCAGGTGTGTTTGATTGAGGCCCACCCACATCTGCAGGTGTGTTTGATTGAGGCCCACCCACATCAGCAGGTGTGTTTGATTGAGGTCCACCCACATCAGCAGGTGTGTTTGATTGAGGTCCACCCAAATTTGATGGGGTTGGACCTCCTTTGGTCGGTGTTTCATCACCAGATGCAACTTTTTTGTGGGTTGATGTTTCAGTTACTGTGGGCTTACCTAAAAGTGAACAATTGTTATTATTTGCCTTAAGTTCTTTTGTGATTTGTTTACTAACTGTTGACTGATTATTTTCTATGGTTACGTACTTACGTTATCTTTTCTATTAGTAATAATGCCTCGTGTACATAGATGAATAAGATTAGAAAAGACATTTGAAAAGTGACATGGTCACTTTGTCCATGAATATTACGTTTTGCTGAGTAGTGGCTTCTTTTTCTTCTTTGATTATTATTATTTTAACTCTTATTTGGTTAGTTCTTGGCCATTTTTGGTTTATTTGAAGTGTTAGCCTAGTTACTTTTATGATTAATATGACACAAAGAAATTTGTAAATCTTTTTAATTGTTAGTTTCTAAAGTAAATTATTATTTTATTTTAGTCAAAATTGCTTGATTTGGTTAGTTTTCAGAATAATTACAGTAAAGAAATGTGTTAGTTGGTTAGTTTTCAATCAAAATTCACATTTTTATTTTTTACCAGAATTCCAACCTGTTGGATTGAGTATTTGTTGCGTTACACGGCTAACATGTTGCATGATTCGGTGAATAATTCCAGGCACTGAAAAATATGCGATAATTTTAGAAGAACTGCAAACTGAATTACATCAAATTTCAAGAGTATAAGAAAAGTCCTAACCTTTTTCGATCATTTTTATCAAAGGTAAAATATACCGTTAACATTGTGAAGAATTTTTTTGCAAAACTTTGCATAAAAGATAAAACTAGTATAAAGATATTTTTTCCTCATTTTAAAAAAAATTCTTTCGATGCGTTTTTCATAAAATTTAAAATTATTAAGTCATCTAAATTAGCTATATTATCAAGTCACTTAAATCCCGCTCCAACGTGGATGAGAGTTGATGAGAATTTGCGTTTGATCGCCAAGTCTCATTGACTTTGAACTAATTCAAATTTTAATGAGAGTTGATAAGTGTTTCCGCGCGGTATAAATATCCAATCAACTCTCATTCAACTCTTGTTCTCTTTGATCGGGGCACGAGGGTTGAGAAGCTCTTATGCACACTCTCGATTCTCAACTCTCATCGGAAAAATCTCACTTCTCAACTCTCATTCAACTCTTGTTCTCCTTGACCGGGACACAAGGGTTTAGAAACTCTCGATTCTCAACTCTCATACAAACTTTCGATTCTCAACTCTCATTCAACTCTTATTCTCTTTGACCGGGACACGAGGGTTGAGAAACTCTCATGCAAACTCTCCATTCTCAACTCTCATTCAACTCTTGTTCTCTTTGACCGGGGCACAGGGGTTGAGAAATTCTCATGCCAACTCTCGCTTCTCAACTCTCATGCAAACTCTCGATTCTCAGCTTTAATTCTCGTTTGACCAGGGCTTTGCACAATTCATGTTTAGATGCAAGCCCAATTGCTGGCAATTTACTAGTTTCCTTTGCATACATTCTGATGACTCGAACACGTTCGAGCCGTAACAACTTCTGCAAAGAAGGCAAATAGTTTATTCGCTTATAAGTAAGCTGTAATGTTCTATGATGTAAAAAGAAAAAAATATTTTAAATTCCAAGATGTATCTTCAATTAATGCTTGATTATGTTGAAGTTAGCACTCATGTTGGAAATGTAATGGAATAAAAATGGTAAAAATTTGTATTGTAGAACAACTTTCAAAAGAAAGGAGTGGCTCATTAATTAGTAGAAACGATTAAACTTTAAAGACAGTATTACCTGGGTTGGGTTTTGGATATGTATAGGGATAAGGTGGGGGAGGTGGGGGCGTAACTCCTGGTGGATATTCAACATCTGCTGGAAGAGGAATCTCTGGGGGTGGGACGCCCTCCGGTAGTGTCTGATTGACTTGTTCAGTTTGTCTGTGGACTGTGTTAGGTTCAACAATTTTGTCGCCGTCGGTCACTAAAAGGAAGAAGAAGTAGCTTTTGTACTAAAAAAATTAAACAACAAAGTGATACTTGAACAAATGACCGAACCAAATTTCGTTCAGAGGGTAGACCTGTGTCCCGCAGTGGATCTTTTACAAGGTTTGTTCTATTGCTTGCAGTTCTCAACTGGCTGCGTCAGACTGGTTACTACAAGGTTGATGATTCGACCGATTTGTTGTGGCAAACTAAAAATCAACCAAGGAATCGATTTTTATTCCTAATGTATAAAGACAGGGTGTTAGCCAGAAAAAAGTTTTGTCCGTTAATTAAACGTAAATTGGGAAAGTTTTTTTGACCCATCAAAGTCCTTGTGGAATAAATAGTGTTGTTTTCCAACGTGTTTCTCCTTAGATGCAAACAACGGTAGCTTGGTTTTGTACATTTCATTTCCGGTGAATGAACACTGAAAAATGCACCCGATGGCACTTCGTTTTGTATATTTCATTTCCGGTGAATGAACACGGATGCACACCGATTACACTTTGTTTTGTACATTTCATTTCAGTGAATACACACCCAATATGAATGAAACGCGATACATTTTGAGAAAATAGTTAATGGGGAAAATAAAATAAAACGTTCTTTGATATAATAATATAAAATCAAACGCAATGCACTTTCTCATCAGAAAAAATGAAAATCTTCCAGTAGACGCAGTCAAAAAAAAGCCCCTTATCTACTTCAATTGGGAAGAGTCCGTCAAACGGACAGTATATGGGCTAGCTAACACCCTGAAAGAGTGGCATAAATTGGAACTTACAAATTCGCTTTTTACAGAAGAAATAGAATCTATTTTCACAATGAAACGTTCTCCATTGACCCTCGTTCGTCATCGCCACACAATCTTCATTTTCACTCATTTGACCGTCTGATTCCACATCGTTATCCCAGTAGAAGAACGAGCTGTTTTTCCCATCACTCCATACGAATGTGCCTTCTTTATCTCGGTCATTAAAACCTAGCCATGTGTATCTGAAAGTATGTAATAAGACTCCTCTATTTCATCGGTTCTGACTATTCCTACCATGGTAAACATAGCAGTCAAAACCAACTTATTAAGTATAACAGGCCTTGTTACACGAGGCGATTTTTGCTTCAATTTTGCAACGCAATTTCTGCATGACAAAGAGTCATGTTATCTAAAAAGTAGTTGCTGGGAAATTGTGATCATGGTCCACAGTTTATTCTGCCGACATTTGTCCATGGGTGGCGGACCCGGGGGCCTCGAGGGTACTCCCCCCCTTTCCGCCAACCAGATATAGTACTGCAGTGCGGTGACCTGGAACATGCGGAAAACAAGTGCACAACAAGCGCGAAGACATACTACTTTTGGAATAAATACCAAGGCTTATCATTCCGAACAAACTAACAAACTAGGAATATAAAGCGATGCCAAACTTCGTTCGTGCGCCGCAATGGCTATAACCTCCTCTACACCTAGTGAAACTTACCCACACGTGAGTATCTCTGATTGTACAAACACCTGTTCCTCGTGAGTATTAATACTGACAAGATCTCCTCCGTAGGTGCCACATTTATCTCTTGCCTCAGGCCAACTAAGGTACTCCGTGATGAGCTTATAACAATACGCGTATGTATCCGTCATGAAACGTTTCCAAAATAACGGGCATCCTTGGGGAAGATATAAAGGTGTAAGATCAGGAAAACAAGGTTAAATCAATTAAACTGACTTCCTTAATCGAGGTGCCTAAACTACCATATTTCTGTCTATTGGTCCAAAGGATACCTAGTTTCAGTATGCAGTGATAAGCAATTTGTGCAGTGATAAGTGAAAGTGTTGATATTAATTTGCCTCGTGTGATATCAAGCACCAACTTGGGAGTTTTAAAGTATTTCCTCGGAGTATACATGGAATTCACCTTTGGATTATTTTTACTGGGCGGGCATGGTTGTATTCTCAGTGAATCTGCTGTAAAGGATGTCGTCCGGTGACGGACTTATCTATCTCCGTAGATAACTTATCGGTAAAATTTCGCCTGCATTTTCGCCTTTCCCGCGCCTCGTCACCTCCCTAAGGCCAACCCCTTAATTAAAATCGCCAGGTACGCAGGCTACAAGACCCCAAGACAAGACTTGGATTATTAAATCTGAAATACACAAGCAGCCCAGGAACAGTACTTACTTGGATTATTAAATCTCATATCAGCCTTTCGATCATAATTAACACTCATCCATTTTGTTTGAAAAGGTCCAAATGCCGTCGGTCCAGCTTCGACCAATATCTTGGCAGAAACATCGGACGTATCATTGTAGTCTGAGATAACACGAACTGCATTGATGTCCACGGGTGTTGGGAAATCGTACCCGATCCAGTCTCCTCCAGCCATACGCTCCCACCAGCCGTCTGGTAGCCAAGCAGTGGCCCTGTTGCCGTCGAAAGCATGGGGGGCTGGGAACGAGAGGTAGGTGGAACTTGCTATCGCACTGGCAGGGTTGTTTGTGGGCAGCGGAATTTTGTCATGTTTACTTTTGAAGAATTGAATTTCGCTCACGAACCATGTTCTGTTGAGTGGCGCCCAGTTCACGACGCGCCAAAAACGTTGTGCTGCATGAATATAAAATACACGGATTGAGTAGGATTTTCTTCCATGAGTACTTATTCAAAACTACGGTATATCAGCTGTCGGTCAGAAAAGTGCTATATTTGATTCGTTATGCTATTTTAAAACACACATAGAAACCCCATAGATTCTATTCCACTGAGTAGTATAATAAAGTACAATCTACAATGGAAACTCGAAAGATTAATCGAAATATTTCATATTTTCGACTAATCTTTAGTAATCGTCAGGAATTATAACTATGAATAATTGGTCACGTGACCCCATTTGTCGGAAAACGAGCACCTCAATATTAGTAAAAGTGAAAAGTTTATGTGGAATATGGAAGAAATGGCGTTCAATTTAAAATTGAAAATTTTTCTAGGATTTGTATGGAATCTGGATGGCGAAATGAGCACTTTCCCATACAAATTCTAAGAAAATTTTCAATCTTAAATATCATATGCTATTATTTCTTGTATATTTCATGTTGAAACTAATGTTGAAGTTCTCATTCATTTAAAGCAACATTAACCGATAAAATATAATGTTCGTGAATGTTGAAAATTTGAGTCCCACTATGCAGGAGCAGACTTTCGGTTCTTCCCAGAGCAGTACGCCTGCAGAGATGGGCCTACTGATAGAGCTATATTCAATATAATTTAAGGCAGTTCAGCTTCAATGTTGATAAGTCTTTTTTCTTTTATTGCTGTTTTGTTTACAATTGACATACTTACGTAATCTTTCCGTACCACAGTACCCACACGACCTCTTGCAATACGTGTACATTTCATAACGGTTTTCATCACAATGGCATCGTTTGCTTGAGTGAGCACACGTATCTAACTTCTGAGGGTGGTCCGTACACGCCACTATAAAAGGTCATAGAGATGAAATTTTCATGACTATTGAGAAAAGATTCACTTTCTATGTCGCGTATGTCGGTTCGAGTTCCGAAATATCACGCACTCGAACCGACTTGACCTCGTAGCTCAGTTGATAGAGCATTGGACTAGCAAAGTCAGCAAACCAGATGTCGCGGGTTCGGTTCTCACAGCGGTGAAGCAAAAATATTTCACCTAATTGCAGGGTGTGGCCACACTCGGAGAGCATTTAGACGAAACTATATATATAGTTAACCGCCATTCCTAATAGTATAAAGTATGTTTTAAAAGGGATTTTTAAGCTTTTAAGTTTTAAGATTCGATAGAAATTCATGTTGAGAAAACTTTTCTTTCTTCGTGAAATTTCAAGACATTATAAAATTTCTGTGATTATTTATATCTGAGTGGGCCAGTTATTCAAAGCTGGGTTAGCTTAACCTCATGGGTTAACCTGAAATTCAAAGCCAACTAGTTCTCAACAGCTTGTTTTATAAATTTGGAAATATTTCTTCAGAGATCTTGTCTGAATCAGTAGACGTTTTCTTCTCTGAAGTTTTGAAATAAACAGACGTGCAGAAATATATTCACTAAAACAGCAGGTTAAATGTTAACCGAGGGTTGGTGCTAATCCGGCTTTGAACAACCGTGCAGCCCTCATGGATATTACCAATTACCTGCCGGATTATATTGATCTGTTGCGTTATACACATCTATAAAAAAACCAACAAGAATAGATCATTAATTCATCAATATATTATATAACCAGCACTTTAATTTTGTTCAATTAAATTTGGTTATGTATGAAGAAATCTAAAAGTCTTATAAATATAAGCTTAATGAGCAATCCTGCATGGCCACTTATTATCTCATGCCTGCAGTAATAACACTGAAAATTCCATCAATAAAGACCCTTTATACCGGTCCTATCTGTTTTTCTTTTTTCGTACTTACATTGTCTTCGATCAGCGTTTTCTTGCACGGTAGCAAATATCGTCCCTAAATTAATGTATTTAAATAATTAACACTCGCACAATCACTTAAACGCATCATTAATTTGTAGACACATAGCCTCGACTCTGTTACGAAGTTAATGAATTTTGGAAGTTTGATGTTTTGTAATGTTTATTTTTAACAAATGTACGTCGCTATATAGATGGCATGATAACGAGGCTATATTAATGCATTGCACGCGTTATTTTTTATTAGCCTCGTTTTCAGTTTACACACATACGTTTCTTCATAAAATCTTCACAAAATATCTAGTTCTCACTCTTTCGAAAAGACTAAAGGGAGACTGGGAAATGCATTTTAATGCACCCGTATGTACTGGTTAAGAGAATGTATAAATACAAGAAATATATATACATTAAGTCGAATTGTAGTACATCATAAATATATATTATTGGAGTTTGCGTGGCCCATGAGTCAATGAAGATGTGCAAATATATATACACTAGCTCAAACGCAGTCAAAATTTGATGCAATATACATCGATCAAGTGTTTTGCAATTTAACTTATAAGATTTGCATACATAGAGTTCACTAATTTTCTTAATCCTAACTTGACCATTGATAACGTCGTCATTTTCAGTCTGCCATTATTATAGGTTTCATTTTTTGTATCGCAACCATTATTATTTACCGTATCTTTTCACATCTGTAGTTAGCGAATTTTAATCTTTTGAGATCGAAAGATCATCACCTATATCACAATCTATCACTCACCTGTCAATTGGAAAAACACACATGAAATCAGCAAAAATCCTCCCCGAGAATCGAAGACCATTTTCGTAGTTTTTATGCCCTGTTAAATCGTGCTTTCTACATCACATACATTGGAAAATTTTGACTACAAGCAGTTAGACAAAGCAGAATCCGGTAGGAACGATTCTACTGAACAAAAGGAAATCTTATTAATTATGGATTTAAACCTGCTTCGTTTAACAGGCTAAATATAAAACAATAAATCTCATGAAATGGACAATGTCAACGTGGTCCTGCGTGTAATTAAGAAATATAAATGCATTTTGGTTTTTCTTAAAAGGTACTTTAAATTTTGCAAATTGTGGTACTCAGTGTTAGGAAATATCGATTTGTTTGCAGTAAACAAGTTCCAAAATTATTTTTCGTATTAGTTTAGTTGTACATAAACAATTTGAGCTTTGGGACAATATGGCCACAAGCAGGTATACGATTTGGTATGAAAATAAAGCAATAATGATTTAGATATCCGCGCATAATTTTAAGACTGGTAACGAGGTCACGTAAATAAGCAAATTTTCAACAGAGAGTCATTGACGACCTGGGACCTATTCAGTCGGTGTTTCCTGAGAGCAACCGGCGTTAGCCAATCAGATGCAATTTAATCTACCCGATTAACCAATCAAATGCGCGTATTAAACTTGTGAGAGGCAGCGGTAGTGGAATCTGAATCTCTCTAATATTAATACAACGACAAATTATTATACGAATAAGTTGATTGTGATTACCTGTGCAATAAAGAAATAAAGTACGAAATTATGTGAACTCGGTTTTATGTGACCTCCAGTCCCCTGAAAACAAAGAAGAACGCGCCTAAAAACACTCCAATCAGGAACCTCTCACTATAATAGGACAATAAACCACACGTCAACTTGTTTTACATAAAACTTCATCTCCTAATAATAATAACTGGTTGCAAAATAAGAAAAACTATGGAAAATATAAATCGTGTATCGTTGAACTAACGCGATACATTTTACCTTAAATCTAAACCTTGGATGAAAATCTTTGGTGAGGAAGATCTTTAGATGGATGAGAAAGATGAGAGGTCATTCAATAAAACGAAAGGAACAAAGAAGATTAATTTGGGACCGTATAAGCGCTCAAAAGTCACAAGAATCATTTATGTCCTATATATTAGCATTATCATTTTTCTATGTATGATTATTTTAACTCCGCAAATCATCGGATTTTTTCAAAGGATATTTTGTCACAATTTCAACTATTACTACTGTGATGTATTGACCGGATACGATGCAGTTTACAGACTTGGTTTTGCCTTCGCCATATGGTTTGTCATTCTAGTCTTCGCCACACTCGGTATTACATCAAGTACAGAGAAAAGAGCAAATGTCCAAAATGGCTGTTGGACTGTGAAGACGATTGCATTAATTTTATTGCAACTTTTGTTTGTGTTGATACCACATAATGAATATAATGGTGAAATTTGGCTGTTCTTTGGACTCAACGCTGCATTTTGTTTCATCATACTTCAATATACATTCATATTGGATGCAGCTAATTCGTTCTGCATTTTATATGAAGTCATCACCGAAAATAGAGATGGTCAATTTTCAGATCTTACTATAAATCTGTTTCGTACTGCTAAAAACTTTACGACAGGTTTTTTGTACAGCGTGTCATTGATTACATCTGCAGGATTCTATTTCATGTACGCTTCATATTATGATTGCATGGATAACTTTGTTTTCTTAACATTCCATCTGATCATGTGTTTGGCTTCTTCAGTAATCTCTCTCTTGCCTATAGTTCGTGAAGCGAGCCCGCAAGTCGGGCTGTTCCAGTGTGCAGTGACCTCTCTATACTGTACCTACGTTATATGGTTAGCATTATCCAGCGAGCCTCGCACAAAATGTAATCCTTCGGATTTCAATCGTTTCCCCGGGTCTCCTATGGCTAATATCCAAGTGTGGGTCACCCTATTCATTACGTTCAGTACATTAATATATATCAGTATCCGTGACCTTGTTGCTCCACAGTTTGGTAAGGTTGAGAAAATAGACAGTCCTGTAAAGAATAACGAAAACTTAAAGCTGACGTACAATCTTCAAAAAGATGGAGCCGACATTAGCCAGTGTGGTAATCTTAAAGGTAACATGAAGAGCGACAACCCGTTCACATCACCTAAAAGTTTCGATAAACGTACAAGCATTTTCGATGTTTCAGAAAATTTAAAAGAGACGTACCATCTTGAAGGTGATGAAGACAACATTAGCCCGCCTAACATTCCTAAAGATAACGTAAACAAGGACATTGCATTCACATCTCCGAAACGTCCTTTCGAAAACAATAAAGAATCCCATTCTCAATCAAAAGAACTAGGATTAAGGCTGAGCAGTTATTCCCCAAACACTGATTCCCCTCTACTGAAGACTACTACTAAAGAGCTATCTTCGGTGAATACTAAAAATGCCACCATACAATCAGAAAATACTTCCTTGGTTTGGGATAATACACTGTTCTTGTGTGTCACAGCCAACTTGACAAGTTATGAAACTCTTCCAAATCGTCCAGAGTTACCTGTGATAGAAAACAGTAACTTTACCATAACAGGAACACAGGAGTCGTTAAAACTTACTGAAGCGAAGCACATTGCGGAAGGTGCTATTGACTTCACGGGAAAGCATCGTTCAAAAACTCCAGGAAATAGTTCAAAGTCTTCAATAGAAAGCAGCAATTTTACCACAACAGACACGGAGGGAGCATCAACACTTTTTGCCTCGAAAGGCGGGAATGATTTCACTATTGACTCGACGGAGAAACCTATTACTTCTAGTAATCCAAAATGTTTAACAAATCGTGACTCACCTTTGACAGAAAGCAGTGATTTTGCCACCAAAGGTATACCTGAATCACTTTCACTTACTGCATTAACAGCAGAAAGAGAGGCATTGTTCGACAAATCGCCTATTAATTTGGCGGAAGAGCATTTTACGAATACGAGCTCAAAAACAAATCATTCAATGTCACCTTTACTGGAAAATAATGATCTTACAACCAAAGAAATACCAGCAAAAGATGCAGCATTAATTTGGGATGATGAGGTTGATGGAATTGAATATAGCTATCCATTTTTTCACCTGACATTTTCCCTTGCTACATTGTATCTGATTATGTCTATTACAAACTGGTATAGACTGGACGAAGGAGAGCATCTCACTGTGAGACTGGTACAAAGTTGGAGTGCAGTGTGGCTGAGAATATCCGCGAGTATATTTTGTTCCTTTCTTTTGATATGGTCAATGATAATACCTCTCGTGTTTCCAGATACATACAAGGATCTGCTGTTCTTTCAGTACCTGACGAGTCTACCTAAATTTTAAATCTTGTTCATAGTAACAATAGTCAACTGAATAAACGCGCATATATACTGCTAGTATATTGTCGGTCTCATTGCAAAAGTTGAAAACCAGTCAATGATAATTTGCCTTTCTACCGAAATATAAACTTTATAGTTCATATAGCTAACTGAATAATCATGCTGCTGTATTCACGATTGCATGAAAACTTGACCTCTGCTCAATGATTATATATACCGCTCGTGTTTACAAGCAGATTCTTACCAGAATCTTTTGTTCATTTAGCAAATACTCGAGTAAATATTAAACTTTACGGCGAAGAGTAACTAAATGAATTAATCTTGTAGTGTATGGGATTTGTACGATGTTGAATCTAAGCAGAACAACCAAAAATGAATTTCGTAAATGAAATTTGTGATATTTCAAATTTTATTTCGTTGATTTTTAAGTGTATTGGTTATATACATACACTATATAGGTCTTATGCTGCGTGGTCCCAAAATACTTTGAGCGTTTGATGTACTGTAGTCTTATATAGTTAAAAACGTGAACAGTTATCGCACTGAAAGTGACAGTTGTATTGTATTCAGAATACGATAATAGTTAAATTTAGTGGTGTTGATCTAATGTAGATTTTCATCAAATATTGACTGATTGAGATGTATTCGTATAGACATATTAATCAAACGCCAAAACATTTTGAGACACCGGCACAATATTTTATTATTATTATTATACTGGTGATTACAATATTATTAATGAATATAAAGTCCATTCAAGAACATGCAGCCCAATTTGCAGTTTGAGGAAACCATGATGAAGACCATTTTTCGCCATCTTAAATCTCGTTAACTTCTTTATGTTTTTGTTTGCTTCGGCTGCATGTTCGTGGAATGTGTTGTCATCATTTTCCTCTGTGTGAATAATTCATGTTGTTGGCCTACATAAAGAAAATTGAGAATGGCATTATGGCAAACTTTATGTAAACCATATAGTGTACTCCAATATTATATAACTGCATTAAGACTATAGTTGGAGCCTTTTTTGAATTTAATAGGTCGATGTTGAACGAGGAAGATTTATAACGAGAGAATCAGATAGAGAATAATCTTATATCTGTCGAATTTTTACATGCAAGTTTCATGAAAAAAAAGTTTGCTCAGTTTATGGTTTAGCTTTCCCCTTGTCCTTCTTTCCACACTTTTTCTGACCAGTTATAGAACGTTTTAAACAATACATAGCCTAATAGACACATTTAGATAGTCTTCTTCGACGTTAAACCGTTAATTGCAAACCGCGGCTTTTCGTTAGTCAACAATCGATTATGACATCTAGTTGTTTCAGCCATCACTCCCATCAGGTTGGAAACCGTATGATTAATCGTTATAGGTCTTGGACCAGTTAAAACATCAGATTGATCATTGCATTTCAGCCATCAAGTTGGAATCATTAGGCGATAAACCAGTCGTATCATCAGCATTGTCAATTAAACCAGTTATTTCAGCCATCAGCCGGTTGGGAACCATGTGTGTTATTAGGCTAAGCCAGGTGTATTATCAGGTTTTTAACCAATCATCGTGCATAGGGGCAGTTATTGTTACTATGTTTTTGTTTGCTTCAGAAAACCGAAGCAAACAAAAACATAGTTGCCATAACTGCCGTTTCTTCTCATCAGTTGAAAATGACTTTCATCTTCGGTTTCAGTGCATGACGTCTTTCTTGCATTTTGTCTCAGGAGTCCAGCAACGTATCCCAAAGAATGTGCATTAAATGACCGACAAACGAATGTTTCGATCTTAATCGATTGGTTGACTTATGCAGCAAATATACATTTGTTAGGTAATTAAAATAGTAGTATTATTATAACAAATATAAATTTATTGTGGATGAAAAGTATATCAATTAATTGATGGGTAAATATCGAGATTTTGTTAGCATCTCATCTCATACTCTTGATTCAATAATAGTTGTACAGATAGTCTATGTATAATATAGTAGTCTTGTGTAGATGGAAATTATCGAGTGGAAGTTTATATACATTTATTAGTTCAGTAGTTCTAACCAGGAACAGCCGCGAAAACATGCAACTCTATAGGTCCTTTGCGGGTGATTTGATGATTTACATGTAGAACTAGTCATTCTGGGAGGACTTAGGATGACCTCTGCATTGAAACAATGATGTGTAATATATTACTAAAGAAAAAGACGTATTACCTCGCTATTATCCGGATCATGCTCAGGTTGCATAATGGGGCCTCCTTCTTCACTTGTTGCTATATTTTTAAACAAACAATACATAAATGAGACTGGAATGGTGTATTCACATATGTAGGTGACAGCTTATTTCGTGGCTGCGACGATGAATACTACATAAATTTAGCTTCGTTTTGGTCATAACTAGTTTACAGGCTATTTTGTGTTCAATATATAGACCACAGTAAGACTTTTTTTAATATACTATTTACAGGAGACTTAGGGAAAGTTCGTTCCTAAACATTTTGCAGGCTATTACAGTGCTAATCCCAATTGTAACTCCAACTGTAATCTCTCATCTTAGAATTATAATTCTAACTCTGTTTCAAGCCTAATCCTAACCCCCATCTTAGCGTAATACTAACGTAAAACTGTGCACTGTGATTCTGGTAATCAATATAGAAAGCCACCTCTAACCTTGCTCTATAAACATAACCCTAACCATTATTTCTTATTTGGTTTGGAACTTGTACTTACAAGCTTCTCTGCAACCAAATCGCTTCTTGTCAAACTCCCTTTTAAGCTCCGGAATATGTCGGTCAGGACATTCTCTCCAAATATTCTCTTCAATTCCTTTCATATATTGAGATTTATTCTGTGGGTCCCATTTCGCTTCCATATTGTGCTTATTGTGAAATAAAAAGAAAAGAAATACGCAGTTCTTCGCCTACCAAAATATACGAGAGATATAGCCATTAGCCAGGTTGAGCCGGGAAGGCCTGGTAAAATTATTGCCAAATCCTTTGGAAATTCAGGAAAGTACATATGGCAACGATAACATATTTGTTACATTTTATGATGTGAATTTTTGCGATGCAATGTTTTAAGCGTTTCAATTTAGAGTTCTGGACTATCTCTTAAAATCGTCAAAATTCTCGAAACACAGAAAATACCATCACGGATTTACTTTAAATGTTCCCTACGGTGAAACATACATGTATCCTCCTTAGAGATGAACTGTACTATTTACCGTGAATAGTCTATTTAAGCATTCCTGTCAAATAAACCTCTCTCTCTCTAATAAGCCTTTAACTTAGTGTCGCTATTTTATGGTTGAAAACAACATGGAGCCACTTTAAATATACTTGTATCCATATGACGTCATTTCCGACATACTTGGAAAATCTCTTCTTAGAATTCATTAATTATGTTAATAGAATTATAGAAACGAAATCACTTGTCTTAACCGTAATTTACTACAGCCTTTTCTTATAAACTACATATAAAAATATCTAGAGAAATTGCTTATCCAATCTCGAAACTTGTCCAAATGCTTATATTCAATATTATTGAGCTCAATACAATGTAATAAATCTGGTTTCGATGACGTCATTGTTGTATTGCGGGGAATTCCTAAAGCCTATTCTTGAATTTTATCTATCGATAAATGTTCGTATCCGAACGAAATTATACATTCCAAGCACTAATCTGCTACTTTTTCTCTTTAAAGCCGCATTTATGGATCAAAGAAAGACTAACACAAGATTTTCCTTCGCTTGGAAGAGAAACTTGAAAGTCAAGATGAAGGTATATGCGAATAAGATCTTATAGTTATCGGTATCTTGCTCAATATTAACTCAAAACTATTCTCGTCGTATTGATAGAATCGTTGAAATGTACGTCCTTTGTGCTAGATCTTTTTCAGTAAAACATATCGCAAAACTGACAACCCGACGATTCGAGTATCCTAAATCTCAGACAGTGACACTATATCAAAACTATCGATCGACTACTTGACAAAGAACGTGATTGTCGTTTGAGATTTATTGAATCCTGCTTTAATTTAAATACACGTCTTACACCTAAGGATATTAAGCTTAAATTTACAAAACTCAATGTCTTAAACATCATTTCGGCTCAAAAACTAAAATGCAAATACCCCTTAACATTTTTATGCTTTCGCTATTAAACTGGACTTTAACGTGATATACGTAAATGTACTAAATGCTTTTAATAAATATTGTTAAACTAAACATAGAATAATTCTTACTTTGATTCTTTCAAACTTTTTCCAAAGACAGCAGAATCTTGTACAGACCTATACAAGAAGAGTAGAGGTAATTTAGCTTCGATAGTTCGATTTCTTCAATATACATCAGTAACCGAAAGACCACGATTTTTTCGCATACTCACCTCTCGACAGCCAACGAGTGTCTGAACTAGTGAACTACGGTATCTACATCTCATACTCACGTCATACGCACGTGTGTACGAACCAATCATAGCACCTTATTTTGTCACATGATGCATGATCCTCGTTTCGATGTAGTCGTTTGACGATTGCATCAGCTATCTCGAATGCTCTTTGGAACAGCTGTAACACGTACTAAGAAGGGAATTTCCCAAAACGAGTGTTCGAGCACGTTCCAAGAAAAGAATATCCTTTTTTGGGCATTTAGATTTAGAAGGCATTTTTTAATTAGAAACATCGAACCTGATAAAACGCGCAAAATATATCTCAGAAAATTACAAGCAGTTATAGTGTTTATTCAGTAAAATCCCTCTATTATTGACAAGGTCCTGCCTAAATCATGTAGTTGCTGTTTCCTTAGGAACAGCTATAATATAAATAATACATTCGCAGCCGAATTAACTTTCACGTGATAATACTGATACTTGCGTTGGCGTGTAATATTCCTAGGAACTGGTAAAACTGGTTATCAAACTCTATAGTATTCACAATTTTGGGTGCGCAGTTCTTCGCAATTTCCATCCTCGTCCCCAGGCCCAAGGTCGGGCGGCCCTCTCGAGCTTGGGCCTGGGGACGAGGATGCGCAATTTCGGCAAAACCGGATTAACTAATAAAGCTTTACAAGCAGGTTAGTTAAAAAGAAATCTAAATTTCTTCAACATTTGACGGCCTATGATATTAGTACACCCCCACATACTAAACTAAATTTTCACAACATAATACGGCCTATATCGTATTTCATGCTCTTCTTTGCTTGCACATGACGTCACTACGTGTCATTAGGCGCCATCTTGGTTGATTTTAAAGTTTTGTCCAGCCGTTTACATCGAAATAGTTGAGTTACTTTAATATTTTTGGTTTGTTTTGAAAACATTTTACTGTATTATGGATAGTTTACGATTTCTGGCACAATACGACAAAGAATGAAGAATATAGATTTTTAGTTGCCACGAATATCAACCAAGATGGCGTCGATTGCAAACGAGCAATAGGCCGTTTAGCACCACTCCCCCCCCCCACCCCACCCCCACCCCCACATACTTGCATGTTAATTCGTGATTCGCTGTCATTGCTAACTCAAGTTACAACAAAGGACTAAACAATGACCTGCATTTTGTGTTAGTGAAACGGTTGTGAGAAATGTATCTTGAAGAGCCTGGAATTGGTAGGCAAACATGCAAAAATATTTGAAAAATGAACGCTTTCTATTAATGGTCAGTTCAGTCAGAGTTGAACTTCTGTCTCTTATTTTGATGGACACATCTGGGCCACATTCTATAAAATGACCCTCCTCTTCAGGGACCGGCCATTAATTACAGGGGGGTGCTGGTGGAAAAAGAGGGGGGTCAGATATTTTTGTGCATGAAAAAAAGCGGGGGGGGGGGGACAAATATTTCTGTGCAATATAAATACCTGCCCTGCATAAGCCCGTCATAGTATCATAAAACCTACAGATAAAAATAGAGAGCAGTAGAACTGCAGTAATCGCCAACACAACACCATTTATTAAACTGATTTCAACCGCATAAACATATGTACATTGGAACAGCCGTTGACTCTATAGATGTTAAAGAATATATAAATTACGATACATGTATATAGGGTAGTATGATTAGCTGTGACTTCACTTTATGTACTATTTAAAGCACGCGTAGGAGTGTTTTATCACATATAAAACACGACGCGTAGCGGAGTGTTTTATATGTGATAAAACACGACTACGAGTGCTTTAAATAGTACTTCACAAACGACTCATCTTATACGAGTTCATTGGCGAAGTAATTTTTAAAATAAACTTTGTCTAAACCGAGAAAATCAAAGCTAAAGCTTATGTAAATTAACGTGATTTTTTATCACATATAAAACCACGACACGCTTATGATTTTTCTTTGTGTTTTGTCCTGAATTATTAATGATTTTTGAAAAGAACTTTAAATTACGTATGTGCCTTTTGTTATTGCATGTGGGGTCAGGGTCAAATATAATTGTGTTATCCTCAAGGGGGGGGGGGCAACAAAATTTTAACATCTAATTTTTTTCATTTCCACCAGCTCCCCTGTAATTAATGACCGGTCCCTCACATTGGATCCAATTTTTTCTGTCTGACCGATTTCAAGTTATAACGCATGACTCATTTACGGTTGGATCGATCTGGCTGTTCTGATCGTGATAATCGGGAAGCAAAAGAAAAGGACAAAACCGGTATTTTTCCAGTTGGGCCTGCCAAATATGCATGGTGTTCCTTTCACTTTCTATCCAAAATTACCCAGATCTTAATTTGTGTAAATGGTAAACAACCTCGACCTCGATCCTCTTAAAACAGCATGTTGCTATGAAATTACAACTTACCGAAAACAGATATACAGGGTTGATATTTTAAGTGCAAAACATGATGTCTTAAACTGAGAACTGTTGAAGAAAACTTCATCCCCAAAACAAGAACGATGTAGGAAAATTGTTCAAGAACTGACTAAACAACTTGTTGAGTTCTTTGGAATAAGGAAACTTTAACTACATGCGTGTCCACCACTCCATTTTATCCAACTATAAATCCATATTTTTCATGAGTCCATGCTTTCAATACATGTTTGTAACATGCTCTGGCTCGACCAATAGAAAAGTTAGTTTAGGTCATCATATATTTATACTTGCAAATGAATTTGCCAAAGTGGGTATACAACAAACAAATCCAAGTCTGAAGTTTAAATGACATGTGAACTTCGTGTGTATAGTACTTCCTCGTACTGCAGAATGGAGAATATTATTTTAACTTTGCTTTTGGTTTTAACCTCGATATTGTCCGCTGTTGGTACTAATCCTGGCATTGTAATACGAGTCAATAACCAGGGGTTAGCATATGGTAAGTTAATAATCTGCAGAGTTAATAATATTGCGTATGAACTTGGTATGTGGTTGAAGCATGAACAGACTTATGTGAGACAACTAAGCTACTCGTTACTTAGGTTTTAACTTGTAGCTTGTACAGCTTTATAGAGGATTATTTAATCTAATATATTGTATATATACACGTATAATAATACACTGTATAAGTTGGTTTGCTCTATTTAATTTTGTTTGGTCAAAGCATGATTTCATAATAGTGTGCATTGTCATTGTCAGTGACAATTTTCCTTCAAAAGGTGCTTCAAAGTTTAATGTTATTGATCCGTTCGTATTTTGTGTAACTTTTATGTTGTTATCCAAAATATTGTTTTACTGTATTCAGCAGCACTTGGTCTAGGATATTTTATGTATAATTATATTACTAATGCTGCAGTAATCACAGGAAGTCCAGCTTTAAAATGAATATACGCTATGTCTATGAACTACCGAGTGAAATATTTCTAGTATGTCAGAATTAGTTGACGTAGTTCAGAGCTAGAACTTTGTTTGATATTTAGATATTTTGTGGTAGGTTTTTGAAGTCGGAACCTGCAGAAGAGAAAAATATAGCTAGCTTAGCAATAATTCAAATACGCGGAACTACGGCACAGGCACAGACTGCTATACCCATGTTGAACATCGACCAATATTTATCATTTGCCGATTTGGAGAATTGACATTGTCAACCGTCGGTATTAAACTGAACAAATGCTTGAATTACACAGGGAAATGAAATTAATTTTGAAGCCTGTTTGACAGTCACAGGCAGTCTCCATATTTTTCCCACACTTGATATTCAATAAGATTTAAAACACGGCTGCTGTAAATCTAAACAGCATTTTTCTAGACACACACTATAATACGAATGCATTATCAGTTAAAGTTTAAATATTCTATGTTGTTTCATCGATCCACTCAGCCGTGCACATTTCTCTTTGGTGCATAAAAATGGTTACTAGGAGGAAGTCGAGCGAAAATGATATACGTTTTCGGTCAGTGAAACATGTGTCTACGAACATGGCATATGTCAATTTCTGACAGTTCAGTATGCTGCTAAGTTCATGTCCAAGTTATATTGTCTATTGATCTCTGAATTTGTATCTGTAGGCATCTCACTCGCAAGAACACATTGTAGAAAGGTTTTTTAGTTGCAAGTTTCGAGTGTGAATTTTATACATTTATTAGACGTAACCAGGTGCAGTTGTGAAAAATGCAACAGTATATGCCATCTGGCTGTAACCAACTGAGCTCGCCACAGGCCAAGTTGGGTGAAGGGATATGGATTGGGGGGGTGTCGAAGGTCAAATTGCCGAGTGATGCTAGTTGAATTTGCCGAGTTTTTCAAAAGTTTGTAAAGGTTAGATATAGCTCGATATAGGTAATGAGAATCATATTGGTGTGCTAGCAACTGAGGGACACCAATATGGCTCTTGTTTTGAAATGGATGCCTGTTCGTGAGTTGTTGCTTTATATTAAACATATAAAGCTGAAAAAAATTTAAATTTAACATAATTTCACAAGTCCTAAATCGAGACTGAAACTATATGCACACGGGTCACGTTTTTGAGCGTTTTTGCAGTGCCGTTTTCCAATTAGCGTTTAGTCGCCTTGTTCACATTGATCGTTTCTCTCGCAACATTTTCTGACAAAGCACTAGTGTCTTATAGTCTACGTTTCCAAATTCAAACACGAAATTTCATTTTCGCCTTCTACTTTTCTGTTTACACAATAACAAAGTGCCAAAACGACCAAACGTTTCAGACATAGAGAACGAATGTTTGGCATCGTTTTCGCTATTTGAAACGTTTTTGCTTCCTGACGTCGTTTTCATACGTTTTCGTGTGAACAGAACGTACGTGAAAATGGTACTTTCAGTTTCAGAAATTAACGCATTAATTACAACCAAAAACTGAGTAACGGGTGTCTTAGACTGTGGTGCAGACGCGCATCTCCGCAAAGTCAGAAAAGTTATCGAAGTATTACCCTGGTTCCTGAGGTTTATTTTTATTATTTTCATTGCGAAGGGGAGAGGAAGAATAAACCTCTGGAACCAGGGTATCCAAGTATCTGCATGTGATTGCATTGATATTTTGTTTCAATATTTTCATGGCAATTTGATGAATTTGACCTTTTTTATCCCCAGGCGCCGAATAGACAATTTATAAT